ACAGCAACATCAACAGCAGCAACAACTACACGCGGGCAACATAGACAACATGGCAAACATGTTGAGAATGCGACTCCGAAAGCCCGAAAGCCGAAACAAGTTTCCAACTTCAGCTTTAGCTGGGGCTCCATAGAGTGAGCCAGGGGGCTATAGCTTCGGCTCCAGCTATAGTTCTATAGCTACATGGCACTCGACAACAACAATTACGGCGGCAGCATCGAGGGACGATAAGGCTGGCAAAGTGTCAAATGAATTTGTCAGATCGGAGGGGGCGACTCGGTCTCGAACCCGAACTCTCCGGACGTGTACAGCACTTGGGCCATAAAAACAAATTTAATTGTCCGCCGAGGAGGAGGAGGAGGCAGTGGAGGAGAAGGAGAGGGGAAGGAGGCGGAGTCCATCGGAAGGCCAAGGAAATCACGTGCGATCCGCGTCCATATCACAGGTGCTTCCGTTCCCTTTTGACGGAGACGGAGACGGAGACCCAGAGGAAAACCAGAAAACAGCTCGCAGCGGATGTGAGTGTTTGTTGTGATTTTTGCACCTGTTGCACCTCGGCAGCAGTCAAGGAACAAACATTTAAGTACAGAGGAAGAAATTAAATCGATAAATATCTCAAAGATAAAATAAAAAATATACGAAGCATGATGGAAAAACTATTTTATATTATAATGATGAATATTATCCTGAAAGGATTTCTAAGGTTTATTCATTACTTATTTATTTTTTATTTTTCTAAATAATCAGGAAAATCTTGAATTGAATTTTTTCTTGTGCAGGGACAAACCGAATAACGATCGACGGGCGATGCATATAAATACGAAACCACAAGCGACTTCCGCCGCCGCAGGATCTGAGAACCCAAGAACTCGAACCTGTTCCCATTCCACAAGCTGCGATGCTCGGTCATCGGTGCTCGGTGCTTGGTGCTCTGCAATTCCCCGAAAGCTGCCGTGAGTTGGCATTTTTTCCTGCGATTTTCGACGCTGTGTGCGCAGTTTTCGGTTTCAGCGAATTCATAATGATTTCATTGATCTGTCATTCAAAGCTTCCAGCATGTCTGCAGTGCGAGGAGAGTCTTGCAGCGCCCAAACAATGTGGCCATGTACCACCGTGTGTGTCTCCGGGCAGGGTGTCTATACGTATATGTACTGATACTGATACGGATTCTGATAGCTTATCGGCGCCGCTTCCTTGCTCATTAGAGCAGCTTCGCTGGCAGCCGTATCAGTGGTTCTCCTCCGGCAATCAGAGAGATCAACCCTCAGCCAATTGGCAGTAAGCCCAGAGAAGCCCCGATGGTAATACCTTACCTGGTCCCCAAACAAAGTTGGAAGGTTATCTGACAGTCCTACAGTTACTCGGATTCATTGGCAATTAAAACCCTTTTAATTAGGGGAAAGTGGGGAATCGTGGGCCATGGGGAAACGTGAGCCACCGCCACCTTTCGGCAGTATTTTGAGATAAATAGTGAAATGCACCTGTCATCGTTTTCTTTTAACCTGAAATCATTTTTACATTGGTTGCTGACAAACGCACGCGTTTTATTCGCTTTGCACAATACTTGCCCAAAAAAAGTATCGGCAACACTTTTTTTGTGTGTTTTATTTCCATCATTTTTGGACGAAAGGCTACGACAAAACACAGGTAAATATGTTTCACATTATCGTTAGACCTTTCCTTTTCAACATACAAAAGTAATTTTGCATGACACTTAAACAAGTCAATTACACGCCGTTATTTTGCAAAAAGTAGCTTGTGGGGAATCGTGAGCCACTTTTGGTGGGGAATCGTGGGCCACCCGTGTTTTTAAATTTTTTGTTATCAATCACATTGGTATGTTGTGTTTATGATGTTTGTTGACTTCTGCATACTTTGTTTGGAGTCAATGCCAAAGAAATTGACCAAGAACAATTCAGTTGCATGCATGGAATGTGGTCGAGATGTCCATGCAAAATGTGCTACCTCCGCCAACACATTTACGTGCCCAAATTGCGTATCAGATTGATTGTGCATAATCCTTCTCCATTTTCTCGATTAAAATAACTGTACTTGTCATTTCTACTAATTGAATAAAGTTTTGCATCATAATTGTTTGATTTTCATTCAAATACGGGGGTGGCCCACGATTCCCCACCATTTTTGAAAATCGCCAAAACACCATTTTTTTTAAAGCCACGAAAAGTCGGAAAAAACAAAAGAATTGTAAGAAAGTGTAATAGTCAAAAGTTACCTAATTTAATGTAGAATAACATACCATATTACAATTTTGGGAAAAAATTTTATTTGTTAAGATATTTAACAAAATATAAACGTGGCCCACGATTCCCCACCTTCCCCTACTTTATTTATTAAACATAATTTCACGTTTAAAAATTTAATTTGCCATATAGAATTTTAAGTAATAATATATTTTATTATTGTACTTCATTAAAGTAAATAATTTTAACAAATCACTGTAATAAAAACAAAACATTTTTATTTGAGCTCCCAGCTTAATGATTCATAAATTTTTTATTTTTTTATTTTAAGTGTAAAAAAGAACATTCTACAGTGGGTATTTTTTTAATATTTAGAGAACGATCAGTACACTTTCAAGTTACTTAGAGATATCGCGAAACTGATCGAAAGTTAATTCATTGCGTGCAGTGAATGAGAGAATCTTCAAAGAAATTCCTCCGAAATGCGATATCGATGCGAATAGAAAATGCGGAAAATGAGAAGGGAAATGGAAATGCCGGCGTGCATAATAATAGTTTATTCGGAAATCTAATGATCAATGGACGATAGCGATAGCAATAGCGATGTCTCTCTCTGTCCAGTGCATTTCCCATCGGGTCGGTGGAGCCCCTTATCAACTTCATTCATTAGAGGAACTGTCAGCGACCAGGGGCGTGGCAAGGGAGGGGTTTCTTCGGAGGGAGTTGCTCGAATTGGCAGACTTGCATTGCACGCAATCGGCTCGCTCGTTAAATATAGCACACTTCAATCAGAGGCAGTGCATCTTGCGTCTGCGACGAGTATTCGAGTTCGAGTTCAGTGCTGCTGCTCCATTCATTCGCTACACAGAGAAAAATAACTAGTTTTGGGCGTGCCATCACAAATTGGACAGATCATTGAATACTTGTATTCGGTCAATATGTGACTTACGGAAGAAAGGCGCACCGATTATTTTCGGCAGATTTCGAAAAAAATTATTTTTTGACATCACCATTTTTTGCAAAAATCGGTCAAAATCAAAATTTGTAGTTGGAAATGCCACTATTTTTCAAATATTTTTTTCAGTTTCAGTTTTTTTGAGTGGAAAAATTTTTAAAATCCATTAAGAGCTTAACGTCTTTTGGTCGGAAAATTAGAGTTTTTTTTTAGTGATGCTCGCCAATGTGTGTCAATCGGAGCGAGTTTGGAGCGAATTGGCAGGTCTCGTGCAGCAAGGCTTATCGGGGGATAGTCTCGATCCGAGTCGGGGGCCCCTCGCAAGTCTGTGGGTCTGCGGTGCCCCCTCCACTGATTACAAGCGAAAATGTCATGTTTTATTTGCCTTCATTTCTTTCGGTTTCATTCTCTTTTTCTTGTGCCTCCCGTTTGTTTGTGCTCCTCTTTTTGCGAAACCCGGATGACCCCGACAACCCCGGCCGATCCGCTGGGTTATCACCAGCCCCTCGCACACACCAAACCATAGCACACCATAGCACACCATAGCACACCATCATACCATAGTGTAGTATGTAGTATATAGTATATAGCCATAGCCCGACTGTTTGTAATTTGCGTTTGAGCGCGCGAATTATGATTGAATAATGAAATGCCCCAATGGGCAATGGGCAGTCAGTCGCTGCCTTCAATTATGCAAAACGGTTACTGCACTTTGCATTAATTAACAAACGGGCAAACAAAGCGAAATTCGCGCAGCTGACACAATTTTGCACGTGCTAAGTTAACCCATTTTATAGGGGCTGCGAATTGTTTCCTATTTAGATTGAAGTCATTGTTCTTGGGCACTGCATTTAAACTTGTTTTGATATTTTCTATTATTTAATACATTTTCGTTATTTTTTTTGTACAATTGTAGTATTGAATACCTAGTTTAAGTGGGTTAATCTAAGCCACAATCTTGAGCTCAGCTCGATCAGCTGAGGGCTGCCGGCAAACCAAAGGGGTTGCGAGTTTGGAGGAGATCTCGAAACATTTCCCGACTTCCCTCCAGTGCGAGTGAAAATATTTTGCAGTTAAATTTAAATTAAGTACACGGGCCACTCTCTGTGTGTGTGTTCGAGTGTTTATGTGGCTGCAACATTTGATGCGCGCCTTCCGTTGTAAATTTTCATCGTAGGTTGTCGGTGAGTTGCCGCCGCCCGCAATGTTTGTGCAGCAGCAGCAGCAACAGCAACAGCAACGGCAACAGCAACAGCGGCACAGCAGCAACACATCGGCGACGGCAGCAACATTCTGATCTTTTTTTTGCTTTTTCCGCTTTTTCAGTTTTTTTTTTGTTTTTCAGTTTTTAGTAATTTAAAAATAAGTGCGCCGACGGCGGCCCCAAATAGCATCCGCAAAATGCAGCAGAAGCATCGTCGTTCGCTTGCCGCTGGATGGCCATGTGTGTGAGTGTGTGTGTGAGCGGCTCTGGCGGTGTGTGTGCGTATCTGTGCGAGCAGCCCCAATCCGAAGCCAAACGAGAATCGCGTTCTGTTCTCGGGGCCTCCGGTCGGTCCGTGTGCGCTCGAGATAAACAAACTGCCAGTTCACTATCAATCAAATACCGGAAACAGCTGCTTTAGTTTTGCCATAGCCATTTGGCACACCAATACAGAGGGGCCCAAACACACATACATACGTATAACAGATCGGGGGAGAAAAGGGATCGTGAGTTATAGGAAAGAAAAACACCGAGGTAGAGATACATCCTCGCAGAGTCTCACTTTAGCATCCCAGTTTAGCCTTCTTTCAAAAAATATTCTCTAATATTTTCTATAAACTTCGAATGAAACACAGAGAAATTTGTTATATTTTTTAGTATTATATGATTTTTTTTATTTTGTAGTTTTTAACGGAACATACATTCTAAAAACATTACATAAAGTTCTTCTGGTTCTCCAGGGTTTCGCACTCGAACCCCACATACTCGCCCTACTCATCGCGTACTCGTCTTCTACTCAGTTTATTTTATTATAATGAAATGTACAAATAAAATAAATATTCATTATGCATAGTTTTGTATGTATAGAGTGCCTTAGATATTAATGTTTATCTTTATCGTTATCTTTATGCGTGTATAATTTTTTCTGGGTTTGTCGTAGGTCTGCGCTTATTAAATTTTCTTTACCGGCTAGGCTTTAAGGAGTTTTTCCAGCTTTTAGTTTGTTTTTTGGGGTTTTTCTTTTTTCGTTTTTTGTTGCGTTTTTAGAAGTTAGGAGTTTTAAGCATAGTTTTCTGGTGTGTATATCTAGGCGTATATATATAGTTATATATAGTACATATACAGATTACATATATAGCATATAGTAATGTGTTTTTAGTGTTTAACATTAATCTTTAATTTACTTTTGCTTGCTTCTTGCTTTTACGTGTATAAATTGGTTTTAAGTTGCTAATTTGCCACTGTTTTTGTTGTCATATTTCATATGGATAATCTATACAAAAAATGTTTGTTGTTTGTTTGTTTGTATTTGCTGCATTTAGATGTGGATTTATCGTTACACTTAAGTTTTGCTTTGTTTTCTTTTGTTTTTCTATTATTTGGAATTTGCTTGCATTGTATATATACACATATATATATGTTTGTATATATATATGTATATACATTTTGCTTTTCGCTTAAAAACTTTATTATATGTATATACAATCTTGCTCACACTTTGGGGCTGCTGGTTGGAGCCATCCTCACTATAAAATACGTTCATAAGCAACCGATTTCGTTATCCCATATTTTCGCTCCTAAGATTTGTTCCGGCTTCGTAGATGGTAAAGTAAACTAACTGACTTTTGGTTTGCAGTTCGCAGTTCGCAGTTCGCAGTAAATCTAGAGTCTAGATCGATAGCTAAGCACATTTACACCTGTCTATAGGCTGCTCTAAATTTATCGAAAAGTTCGTCGCCCTCAATACAATACACACATCAACACACAAATCAATTTAAGATTTAAATTCGTAAAGTTCTACAATATTTCTTGTGTAATTTTCGGCTTTTGGCTCTGTTCGCTCTACAACATCAAAAATGGACTGGACTTGGTATATATAGTATAATATTTGACTAATTTACGCCATTGAATATTTCTCTAAAAGTTCTCCCGTGTGTGTATATAGGTATATATAATCTGGTGTTTTGTTACGCTCGCCCCAAATTGTTCAGTTTTTCAGTTATTCAGTTTTAGGGTGTTTTTGTATACGAAAACAATAAAAACTTTCGCCCGTTTACTTTACACTCGTGGAAAATTCATTGGAATCATTTGCATACAACTATTTACGTTTATAGGGTAAGAATTTGACTTAGAAATTGAACATTGAACTGAAGAGTTGTTGTTAAGCATGTGAACAAAATCAAATAATACAAAAATCGTTCGAAAAATAATTCCTAATCGCATTCGTTTCTCGGTCGGTTTCCTCCACTCGTCGCCTTTCCTCGTTAAGCAAAAATTATTTTTTAAATAACATTTCTAATAATTAATAATTATCTGTTTGCAGTCTTTGGTTATTTAATTTTTCTTTCTTTCTTTCTTTCTATCGTTCTATCTTCCTATCGCTCCTTCTCTCTTTAAATATCCTTTTAAATCATATATATTAAATATTTCCGTATGTATATATGTGGGGGGTAGATGCTCCTCCAGTGGGCCTCCCTTTCGTGCCACGGGGTTTTTTGCCGCGGGGGGCAAAGAACCCGTTCAGTAGTCGGGACTGGAGTCGAGGAGCCGCTTCTCCGGCGTGAGGTCGCCCTTGCGCAGGATGCTCCTGGCGGCGCTGCATCCGTGCTCCAGCGCCTTCCCGTTGGCCAGCGGCCCGAGTCCGCCCTCCGTCGCTCCGCCCGAGAGGCTCACCCCGCCGCCCAGTCCGCCGCCGTTCACTCCGCCCAGCGGCACGATGGGCAGCATGCTGCTGGTGGACCCGATGCCGCCCGCTCCTCCGCCAGCAGTGCCCCCTCCGATGCCCTGGCAGCGGCAGCCACGCCCCGCGAAGCGGCCGTAGCACTTCTCGCAGAGCTTCATGCAGCCGCGCATCGGCCAGTAGAACCAGAGGCAGGGCAGGAAGAGGGAGAGGGCGCCCAGCCAGCCCCAGCGCTGGGTGCGCTTGTAGGGGCCGCAGGAGCAGGGGTTGTCCACGCAGGGCGTCCCGTTGCCGTCGTCGCAGTCGAGGTCGTTGTCCCGGGCGCAGTGGTAGAAGAGCGCCTTGGCGCAGCACAGGCAGGAGGCGTAGTCGATCACCGACTCGGCGCTGCAGAGGCACGTCTTGTTGCACACCCACGTCTGGGGCAGCGGCCGCGGGCTCTGACACTGCTCGCAGCGGCACCGCTCGCACCGCGGACACACGATGTTGTTCGCCAGCGCGGGATCCCCCGCCATCACGAGTGCTCCGCCCGCCCCGCCCCCTGCGCCCTGCTGCAGCAGCTCCTCCAGCGCGTGCATGTGCTCCTTCTGCGCCGCCGGCTGCTTGGTGATGATCGGCTGGCTCAGTCCTAGTCCCATTCCCATTCCCATTCTGGGCGGGCTGGGCTGCTTCGAGGCGGGTGTGCTGTGCTGCTGCTGCAGTTGCTGCTGCGCTTTGCTGCTGTGCTGCAGATGCAGGTGCGAATGTAGTAAGCCGTCGGTGTGGTCGCTGCCCAGGGACGTCGCCTGCGTCGTCGTCGTCGCCAGTCGCGCATGTTGCTGCTGCAGGTGTTGCTGATGTTGCTGCTGCTGCTGCAGGTGTTGCTGCTGCTGCAGGTGCTGCTGTTGCTGCTGTAAATGCTGCTGATGCAACTGCTGGTTGCGCTGCGGCAGCAGCAGCAGGTGGTGGGTGGTCGTCTGGCCGCTGTCCTGCTGGCCAGCCGGGTGCTGCGAGCGCGTCGCGTGTTGCAGCGGCGTGTCCACATACTCGTTGGTTAGCCGCTCGGATTCGGGGCGCGGTTGAGCCAGCGTGACGGGGGAGGCGGGCGGCTGGCCCAGAGCGTTGCTCGCCGGCTCAGCGCTTTGGAAATGACTAAGGAAGTTGTTGTTGCTTGTGTTGCTGTTGGTTGTGAGCGGTGCGGGTGCCGGCGGACGGCGCCGCGTGAAGCTCGAACTGGAACCGGAAACGGAGCCCGAACCGGAAACACTCAGACCCGTGGCCGTCGTCGAGGAGGCCGTGCTGCTGTTCCGGCTCAAGCTGCTCGGCCGCTGCGGCAGGAAGGTCAGATGGTGGATCTGATAGTCGTCGATGTCCGCCGACGCGGGTATAATCGATATCGTGTTGTTGTTGTTGTTGTTGCTCGCGGCGGTGGCGGCGCTAATACTAAGTTGCTGCTGTGAATTGTTGTTGTGGATTGTGGTTGCTGTTGGTGCTCCTGTTGCTGTTGCTGTTGCAGGTGCTGTTGCTGCTACTGCTACTCCTACTGATGATGGCTGGTCGACACCGCTTAACGTCGGCTCCGGCGCCCTTGGTCGATGCACTCGCGGTAGTAACTTCGGGGGCCGGGGTGGCGCCAAGGGATCGCCGCCATTCCTGCGATCCATGTAGTGTCTAGACCAGGACTCCCGCCCAGCTGTCCGGCTGCCCAGCTGCACTCCTCCACTTCTCCGCCTCCGCCTCCGCTCCTCGCAGCTCGCAGCTCGCTCCTTGCTCCACCGCGAGACCGAGTCGCCGCTCCTCCTCGAGATCCGAGATTGGGTTCGGGATCGGGATCGGAATCGGGATCGGGAACCTCAATGCCGCCGATCGTTGTTTCTGCGCCCGAACTCAGCTCGGTGTGCCTTCATCCTTTCGCAGATGCCAACAGCTGCGATTGCTTTCTGTAAATGGAGGGAATAAATAGAAGAAATTAGTCATCTGATCAAGGGATACTTAAATTCTACGTAATACTGCATATTGGCTTAAGCTACTACTAATACTATTTACTACAATATATTTAAGCTCCTCGAAAGAAAGTGCCACAAAAATGGCACGTAGATGGATAAACGCAGGGCAAACAGAGCCCAGAAATAGTGGCAGTGGCATTAGAGGCAGTCCAGCACGAGGCGTGCCCCTTGGGTCCAAAGTGCCAGTTGCCAGATGCTTTATGCTTTTGTTTGGATTAAATGGCCGGCAGTGAACTTTCCTCCTCGCCGACGGTTTAGTGTTTGTAATTAATTCCGCAGCTAGGAAACCGAAGTGAGAGAAGGTCGCCCGTCGTCATATTTATATGTACAGATAAAGACGGTTTTCTTCTTTTTTTTTTTGTTTTTTTTTTTCTTTTTTTTCGGCGTGGCTTTCATGTAAACATGGCGGGGCTTTATGATTATTACTATTTCGGCTCATTATGCTTTCGGGTTCACTCGAATCGGCGGGACATGATGTTTCGGAGTTTGTGTTTCGGGGTTTCTAGGGAAACTGGGCTTGGCTCCACTGCCAAATGCCGGAGATCAAATTGCTTACTATATGGTATTTATGCTGGCCGCGAGAGCTGAGGCTTTTGGATCCGAAAACTCTCTATTCGTACTCACGGATCCGCCGCCCTCGACACCGCTAACCCCCATTATCTGCCTTAATTGCTTTCACCCCGCCTATCTGATCCGATTCGGCGATCCGGCGGCAGTATTCGAAGTTCCATTCAGGCATTCTCCCTGAGTTCTCCCCGCACTTTCCACTCACTTCCGCTCCGCGTTACGTAGAGCCATTCAAATAAACGGAATAACTTTCATAATTGTTCGATTTGGCATATCAGAGGGAAATTAGCGATTCCGATTCGGATTCGGATTCGAATTCGGATTCTGTATACTTCAAGAAGCGAAGGCGAATGAATAAAGGAAACGATGCTAATTGAACTTTGACTGGGTACATTTTTTCGGCTTCGGTGTCGATGATGATCACGTTAATTATGGCACGATCGCGAAAAAGCATTTTAATGGCGAGACAACAGCATTTTAATGGCATGTTCCTTCGGATTTATAGCGATGCAGCAGTTAATCCGGTCAACGCGGCGTATGAGTAATGCGATCGAAGTCCCGCCGCGTTTAGATAAATATTTGTTTACACATAATTAAAGGCAAGGCACGAGGTGCCCCTGGCAAATAAGGAAATACAGGAAATTAATAGATGGCGTCGCTGTTCCATAAAAATTAATAAAAGCGCCAGCAGACACTCCAGTTCAAAATAATAGTACTTGCAATAATAATCAGAAGACTTTCTATTGTAAACTGCATTGTTTTTTAAATAAAAGAGTTCTTCTCTCTTGGCAGCATATTTTAAGCAAAAGCAGATTTACCACTATTATTTTCACCTCCGCTGTACATCTGCGCCTATATCTGGCGATAAAAAGCCCAACGAATTATTATTATTATTGTGCCGCATGAAAATGGTTTTAAGCGCCAACGAGAATTTCTACGCCCCAAAAGAAATAAATACACACACAAACACACACACACGTGCACATTCGTAGGTATTTTGAGTTAAGTGTGTGTATTTTTCGGGGGTATAAAAATTAACACAAACGCCCACTTATTGACGTCATGTCCGGTACTCAAAAACAATTTTCGAGAATGATCACAATTGGGAAAAACAAAATAGAAAATCAACGAAAACACACGTCGTGGGGCGAGTGGATGGGGCTTTTCTTTGGGGCAGAGGCAGTGGCAGTGGCAGCGGATCGCCGCTGATTGCCAATAAGAAAATCGCGCCACAGGTCCCTCCTCCTTCTTTGTGTATTTGGCAATCGACATTCGGCGATTTTCGGGGGAAAAACTGTAAGCGTCATTCCGATTTTTCCGTTCTTTGATACACAGAATTCTAGGTAGTAAACTATTTATAGGCTTTTTTAAGAATGAACTCTGGGAGAAAGGCTTTGATGTTACGGTTAAATATATATAGAGATACAGATATAGTTCGCTAAATGGCGTTCCGAATCGAAGTTGAGTTCTTAATTAACCATAAATTCGCTGCAAGTTTCTGCCAGCCCAATTCCAATTAAAAGGTGTAAATGCGGGCCATAAAAAACATATTCAAATTGCCCAATAAAAAATAAATAAACATAATTCAGCGCCGATCTTTTCGGCTGCTTGACGCACACCCCAAAGTAATGCCAAGATTTCGATTTCATTCTTAAATTAATTGGGCACAGCAGATAGAATACAACAACACAGAGTACGTAATTTCAAAACAATTTTGTTGCTTTTGCGTTCACTCGCTTATTTTTAATTGCGCTAAAATTCTTTTTCCTCGCCGTTTTTTACTTATTTTTCTCTTTTTTTTTGTTGTTTTTTTGCGTTGGGCAAACTTTGACCTTGGATCGCAGCAGTGCCTGAGTAAAAAATAAATTATTTCGCTGGCAGAGAGTGTGATTCAATGGCACACGAAATGTGAAATGTGGCATTTGAAACGTTTTCATTAATAAGTGAAAATACGAGGGGGGCTGAAGGTCTTTGTCGCCCGGCTAATTCATTCAAACGATTCGAGGAGATTCGCCTTTGTTGGTTTGCGTTTGTTTGTTTGCTCGCCTGCTTGCTTGGCTGTTTGCGCAAACAAGTGTCACTGCCAGTTGCGATTTAAATAAAATTATTTAAGGCAGGCAGACAGCCCAACAATAACAACAACAACAGCAACACAAAGCGAAGCGTTTTATACAAAAATAAACTCTGGCGAAAATCAAATGCAAACAGGTTTTTCGCTGGGGCTGCCATTCTGGTTAATAAGCCGGCGAATAATGTTTCTGGCGACCGAGGAGTCCGATCTCTGCCTTATCACGGCTACGTTTACCGTTCCAATTGTCAAATGAATTAATAAAAGTTATTGCCCAACGAGCAATGCCAGCGTGACCCAATTAAGTAATTCAGAAAAACCAAGCAAAAAAACACAGGACGAATTATTACTGGGCCATTTTTCAGTTAAAAATAAATAAGTAAGTAAACCATCTTGAAAACCTTTTAGTTTTTCTAGGTGCTTTCGCTAAGCCTACTTTGTAGCTTTTCAATTTAGTGCTGATCTAGGTTTATTGACGCATTTTTGGAACCGTCAGCAATGACGACACAAAAAGTACGAATTGCAATTCATTTTGTCATGTCTGGAAATCGTGCTTTAAATTTAATGATGTGTAAAAAATGTCTCAACGCTTATTTTGTTTTACTTAGTTTCTGCTCTCGTTCCGATTTTGTGTCAAGTTCTGGCGATGGAAAACGCTTAAATCGACTCTTAGTTTTCATATGTTTTGTTCGGCCTGGAATCTCCCTTTCGGGCTGCGTTTTTGGAATATGCCTTCTGAGCCCTGCTAAAAATATGTGCGGATACACACGCTCAAAAGGCAGACACACATGAGTAGATAACTGAAATGCGGAGAGCGACAGATGAAAAACCTACACAGGAAACGCTAATGACTGCAGGCAACTCGGCGGAGGGAACCGAACGCGAATGAGAAAACTGAAACTGAAACGGGAATCGCTGGATGTTGCTGCTGATATTGCTGTTGTTGCTGGTGTTTCTGGTGTGCTGATGCTGCTGCTGCTGCCACGACAACAACACCAGCAGGCCAGTCACAGAGCACAGATCATTAAACTATTTAAATGCCCAACCGACCATATGTTGCAGCCACAGCAGCAGCAGCAGCAACATCAGCAGCAGCAACAGCAACAGCAGCCCCAGCAGCAACATCAGCTAATAGTTTTCAAAGCAAATGAGCAGCACATGTGGCAAAGGGCTGAAAGTGTGTGTTAATGAAGGCACACACTCACACACACACATACACCTTCCAATGATAATTATAATAATGATGATTACGTTCGTTCTTGTGTCTGGAATGGTTCGCTTCGGGTTTTCCTCTACTTTTGTAGAAATCATTGAAGCCAACTCTGGCTGAGATCTTGGGAGAGGGGATTTCGGGGGGGGAGGAAGAAGCCGGGAAGAGGCAGGAGATCAAATCACCAACAAATGAGCTGAGCCAAGAAGATGCCATCAAACTGGAGGCCCAGACAACCCAACAACGGTCGACCCTCCAGAGATGTCACCGATGGGAACTGGTTCGGAAATGATATTGGGTTACCTAGAAACCAACATTATATTTAGTTAATGTTTATAAAGACTATCCAGTGTTTATTGTTTAAAGTGAAATAACGATTAATTGAAGGAGGAACTAGAAGCTTAAAACAAAATATTGTACTTTAATGATAAATAATCACTTTTTGTGCAATACTTGAAATGTAAGTCATCTTTAATGGGGTTCTCCACGAACTAGTTCCCCTAAGCCACTCAGCTCTTCTCCCCCGTTTTTCCCCGGGCTATAATGCTGTTCTGTTGTCTGGTCTGGTTTGATCTGGTCTGGAGAACGCGAAGAGCAACAAGAGGAAGAAGATGAGCCGTAGAAGAAGAGCTGGAGAAGAAGCCCATAAACTACAAGTGATCGACCTTAAGATTTTCTCGGGCTGATTGTCTCCGTGCCGTCGAATCTGCGTTTTCTCTAGGCAACAACAAGAACAGAAACAACAACCGCATCGCATTTGGTTGTATATCTGTATGGTTGTGTGGTGCGTAAAGTAGGTAGATTTCAGGTAGAATTCTCCTCCGTGCGTTGTAATGACTGAAGTGAGTTGCAGTTAAGTGGCAGCCAAAAAGAAAGCTGCAACATGTGTTGCCCCGGCATCGCCGTCTCTTTCTGCCGCATCCAAGTGCGTAAGTGGTGTTCCATTGTTGTTGCACCTTTTGTCTGGCCAGGCACAACAGCAACAACAACAACAACAACAACAACAACAGCAATAGCAACAACAACAACAACAATAGCAAGAGCAACAGCAACACTATTGCAACAGCAATATCCGAGCGGCAGCAGCAA